CCAGTTAGTGGGTGGCTGATTGATCTGAACAACACCTAACCTTAGTGATGGATTTATTTCTTTAGGAAAGACACCACGCAAAAACTGTTGGAGAGATTAAGCAGTTTGTGTCGCAGCTGCCACACATGCAGGCAGCAAGGAGTTCTCTGGCAAACCACACCTCCATTGCAGAACTCATCAAAGACATCACCAGTGAGTATTCATTCGCTGAATAGTCTGACTACCTGGAGTGTAGTAAGACGTAAGACACACTTCCTTGACAAAAATGGTGTTAATGTTAGATGTAGAAAATTAGCTGTCAGTTGCTATTGCATTGGTTTTTATTCTTTTCCCACAGCATCTGAAGATTTTTTTGATAATTTAACAGTAGAACAGGAGTTCATGTCTGGAATAGACACAGATAAGGTAAGCAGATGATGACAGCCAGTAACTCTTCAAAAAAACTATCTATGTATTTTTCTTTGTTCCTTTTTTTGTTGTTGTTTTTGAGAGAGAAAACACTTTATCTGGATAATGTCTGGCTCCATCCTTGTGTGTATCCTTGTGTGTTTGCAGCAGGCTATTCCAAGTGGTGCATATCACTGGTCCTACTCAGAGACACTCCTGCACTGTGTGCTCTGCCAGGCTTTGCTTCCTTCCCTCTGCCTGCAGCGCAGGTGCTCAGGTGGAGCTCTGTGTACAGGGCTCTGTGTGCTGGGAGGAAGGTGCTCAGTACAGTCAGTGCTGATCACTGTTAGACAGGTGGTTCTGAGCTGCCTGGAGAGCAGCTGCATTTCTTCTCTTGCCTTTCTGCAGACACTAGTCAAAACTAGAACTTCCTTTCCAGGTCTGCTTTTTGCTTTTAACAGGGCTTTGACTAACAGCTTATGTTTGGTTTTGTTTTAATAGGTTAACAATTATATTGAAGACTGCATTGCTCAAAAACATTCATTAATCAAGATCCTACGTCTCGTTTGCTTGCAATCTGTATGCAATAATGGACTGAAGCAGAAAGTTCTGGACCATTATAAAAGAGAGATTCTCCAGGTTGGGCTGTAACTTTTGCGTTGATAAATTTCTAAGAAAATCTACCCCAAAGCCTCCACTCTACAGCTTGTGCATTACAGACAGATGCATCTTGTAGAAGGGCAGTGTTATGACTTCAGGTGTGTACAGGCAGAGACTGAGGCTTGTTGGGCTGGCAGCTATGATGCAGGAGGTGCTTAAATCTGTTACACAGTATGTACAGAGAGGGTTGTATCATTAAGTGTTTTGCAGTCATGATTTAAATGCTCTCAGTGGGATACACACTAGAGAGACCTTAAACACCTTTTAGATTAAAAAACAGTAAAAGGGAAAATGTTGAACACTGCTCCTAGATTATTGGCACGGCATTAAAAACAACTTCATGTTGCAGACTTACGGCTATGAACATATACTGACCTTAAACAACTTAGAGAAGGCTGGGCTCCTGAAGCTGCAGACAAGTGGTAGGAATAACTACCCAACAATCCGGAAAACCCTGCGCTTATGGATGGATGATGTTAACGAGCAGGTAAACAGATGCTCCTGCAGTGACAGCTGTATCTAACACCACGGGACTGTGTGCAGAAGGAAAACTTGCACATGGGGCGGCTTTGCAGCATGAAGTAGCAGTCACGTGCTGCTCACTCTCTGCTCTCCCTTGCAGAACCCCAACGACATCTCCTATGTGTACAGTGGCTACGCACCGCTGAGCGTGCGCCTGGCACAGCTGCTGGCAAGGCCGGGGTGGCGGAGCATAGAGGAGGTGTTAAAAATGCTGCCAGGACCCCACTTTGAGGAGCGGCAGCAGCTACCGACCGGCCTTCAGAAGAAGCGTAAGTTGTGTTTTGTTTTCACACTTCTTAAAGGCATATGCATCTCTGTCAGTGTGAATGAGGCAAATGGAAAGCAAGGTCCAGGTATCTGTCTCCTCTTCCTGTCTCATTCTACTTTATCTGTTCGTTTTGGATAGCTTTTTGGCCTCTTTAAAGCTTCCACTCACGTACTCAGCCGGCTATTAACCGACAGCACCGTGCCTATTGAAAATACTATATGGTTGTACATTGTTTAACTTCTCATCAGTGTATAAAACCCTTCTATTGCAATAGAAATGTTTCAGACACTAAGTACAAAGAAGGTCAGCACCACTCTGTTAGTACTAAGCCTGGCCAGACAGAGGCACATTCTATAAAGAGACTGCAGAGCTGGCAGCGGAGTCTGCATCTGCTGTCTGCTACTGTGCCCAATAGGCTTCTCTTCTAAATCAGCTCCTAAATTTACTTTAGTTTGAGGACAGTCTGAGTTGGACTGACAGTTGATGGATAGGAGATTTAAAATAAAGGAAAGGCAACCTGTCTTTCTCTGTATGTGCAGGTCAGCACGGTGAGAACCGAGTCACGCTGGTGTTCTTCCTGGGAGGTGTGACATATGCAGAAATAGCTGCACTGAGATTTCTATCTCAAATGGAAGATGGAGGCACAGAGTACGTCATTGCCACCACAAAACTGATCAATGGAACAACCTGGATCAAATCCTTGATGGAAAAATTAGAGCCTGCCCCTTTCTAGAAACTGTGGCAAGAGAGAGTGAAACTGAGCAGCCCTGTGTGACACAGGTGCATCACCTGCTGGTGGGGCTCTTGACTAGGAAGGAATCATGCCCCCAGAAGAATGGCATGCTCCTGAGACCAGTCCATGATGCAGCTTCCCACCTCCCTCTCTGCACTTGTATTCCCACTGTTTGTTTGTGGAACTTGTAGTAGCCCAGTGGTGCTGAAAGACATTAACCGTGAAATAAACAATGGGAGAAAGAGATGTAACTGCTTGCAGTATGAATCAATGGTCAAGTGCTGGGGCAGAGGAATTTGCCCTGCTCAACCCACTTCCGTTTTTCTTTCAGTTTTGTTCTTCCTAACAGGCTCAGGAAGCAGGGCCTCATCTGTTCCTGATTTCATATCACTGGTCTCTGTGGCTTGCAGGTCACAGCTGAGTTTTCTCACATCCTTGAACACCGATTGTACAAGGGAAAGATAACTGCAGTAAAGAGGAAGCACTGACTTTTTTTGCTGCAAACCTTTAGGTACAGTTTGAGGACAAAAAAAGCAATGACACACAATTCACAAAGTAGCAAAATGAAACAGAAAGCATTAGGTAACAGGCTCCTTTGGCACCCAGCTGCTCAAGAACGTTCTCTACTATTCAGCTGCTGCATATCCTCAGTGCCCCTCGAGCAGCTGGTGATGTGAGGGACCCGTACTGCGCTATCTCTTAGGGCTAGCTACTTCTAGGCTACATTTAAGTCCACTATCTTGCACGCTGCTTGGCCAGGACATTCACTGGACTTCCTCTTGCACAGGCAGCAACAGCTAAATCTTGAACTACGCACATGCACATCAGCAGCACAGACTGGATGCAACCGACTGCAGCCAGGTTGCTAGGGAAATGCCAGTCTTTTACTTCAGCCATTTTGGGAGGGGCTCAGTGGGAGGTGGATTATTTGTGCCAGGTATAACCCCACCTGGCTGTAAAGCAACTCCTGAGTGTGAATTGCATCACTGTGCCACGTGTTTGAAGGTACACAGACACAGGCTCTTCTCACATGGGACGGAGACCAAAAATAGCTGTCAGTAAACCAGTAAGCAGCAGGCTTAAAACAGACACCTTTCTTGTTTTCCTGTGTTCAGTTTATAAACTGTGGTACTTGCTGTTGCAGAGCCCGAAATTACAACGGAATTTTCCTTGGTCTTGGGGGCTGGGGCTGCTGAGCCAACGTACACAAGCGGCAGCTTCTGGCTCCAGGAGTGTTCTTTGCTATGGCTGGTGGCTGGGAAGGCAGAGCAGGCCCTGCTGTCTGCCCTTCCCTTTGGTTGCTGACGCTGTACTCACGCTCTCCACAGCAAACACTGAGGACTCTGTTTCACACTGAATTTCATTATTACACAGTTATGGAAAAAAAAAAAAAAACAAACCCACATTAAATCACTCTCTTAGCAAACATTTCTGCTCTGTTATCCTGCATGATGTGTAATGTGTTGCAAAAAAAAAAAAAACACTCCATTTTTTCCTCATTTCAGTCAAAAATTAATCACACGGCAATGACTGGCACTGCTCAGGCTGCTTTGTGACCAAACACAAGTGAATAAAAGGATACAAAGCATAAATTCAACAGCTTGCTTACCTTTTCACTTGGACTTGTAAATGCATTAGCAACACTAGAAGCAAAACCTACTTACATTAAAAAAAAATACTTTGTGCCAAATACTCGGTAAACTTTAACTTACCAATGACACTATGCGTATTTTTTGCAGGCTGTTGCCTGCCCTACCAACAAGAAAGAGCCACGTGGCTACACAAACTAAACAAAGTCTCTTCCTACAACTAGTCAACAACAAGAAGCCATCCTGACGTTGATTGATTCTCTGGAGGAGCAATTACTACTTAACAGGCTTCCTGAGCAGCTTGATTATGTTCTGCTTCTGTCCAAGGCCTTGCTGACCATGCGGGTAATAATTTGATAACAAGAGAGCTTAATTAAATTAAGGGGCCATTTTCTACATCATAATATCTTTGTAGGTAAGAGATTTGATTTGCAGTACATACCCTTCCTTCTCTCTGCTGTCTGCATTTGTCTGGTTTACAAGCAAAAACAGAAAACATTACCCAACCTCCACTCAGAAAGACTTTCACATTTCATACAGCATTATCAAAAAGCAGCTTTGCTAAAAATAAATCTACATCTTGCCTCTCTCCCCCCCCCCCTTTGCCACAAGTGAGTTGTAGATCTTGCTCTCAAAGGCGGGAAGGGCTTTTTGTGTGTGTAAGGGTGAAGATAAGGCTGTGAGGCAGTGATCAACATATAGATCACACGGTTTTCAGCGCTCACTTTCTTTAGATAACAGGGTGCAGTTCAGTGTGCACAGTTTAACCTGCGTTGCTGACCTTGGGCAACCCCCAGCTACGTGCAAGCATCCTGCTCCTGCAGTGCCCCACAAGCACCGGGCCCTCAGAGAACAGGAGCCTTCCAGATATCCGAGCTGCAGCATAAAAAGCATTAGATGACATAATACTTCATTACAGGAAAAAAAAAAAAGAGGCATATAAACAAATGGAGGCTCTGACTGGTAACACTGGGAAAGCCTGGTGCTTCAACTCACAGAAAGCTGTCGACAAAAGCTCTCCGGGGAAGGGGGGCGATTCACAGAGCTCCGTGCTGCTGTGCCGCAAAGGCGCTCTGTCATACAATAATTGGTCCTGACCACACCTAGTGCATTAGTCCTCGTGGGCTGCAAGTACAACCTCATTACTCCTGGCTCCTGGATGAGCAGATCAGAAGGGGATCAAACTACAGCACAAGCCAGAAGCCAGGAATTCAAGGGACGGCGGCACAACAAAACCAGAGAGAAACAGGAACTTGTCGAAGCAGATCCCCTCATCTACCTGGGTAAGCAGTTTATGTCTTTGTCAGTATTTCTTTAGGCAATTAAAAGTCGTGTAAAGACTATAAATAGGAAACTTTGAACAACTAGGAAACCACAGCTGGTTTTAAAATGTAAGCACTCCTGTAATATGCATACACCTGAGATTGGAAGGAAACATCTGATTGGTCTTCAATAAGACCAAAAGAGTGACTTAATTTTAATCAAAACGTGGATTTTTCATCACAAGTACTTCTTAAAAATATGTACCAAATTGGCAGGACAGGAATTCAATTTGCTTTTGCTGGCTATAGACTGTTTAGAAGATGAGAATCTTTTTAGGTTAGCTTTATCTGAAATCTGGTTCTAAATTCCATTTATGTGCTTGACCAAGAGTGTGGATACCTTAGATCAGGCACGGCTCTGACCAAAATAACGTGACTCAGCGAGACAGGAGAATTTTTTAGTCAGGTTTTCACTGTATTAAATCTAAGGAGTGAGCAACTTTCATGAAATGTTCAGATTTTATATCAAAGTAACAAACAAGCAACTTCTAAATCACCATGTACTATAACTTTAAAGTACAGATAGAAGATGAATTCTGTAACGTCTCACCCTATGTCTCCCATTTGAAGGTTATTTTTAAGCTGAGATGGATAGAAATATTTGCCTGTGCGAAGTTGCATTTAAGCCCCAGTTTTCTTCTCTCTTAAACAAAAGGCTCTGTTTGTGCCAGTATCTCCATTAAGACGCAATTATATCATTAAATATTAATGGTGGCTTCCTTGAAGGCATTGACCACTTTGATCAGAACACACTGTTGGTAATACGTCATCAGTGAATGCTTGGCATGTGAAGCTTACTGGATGCACAGCCACTGACACGGGGGAAGGATACTGGGATCTAACTGAACTGGGGCCACTGCTCTGTGCCTGCACAACAGAGTACACCATACGCGCATCTGTATTGTAATTTGCTTAAAAACCAGTCCTGATTTAGAGACTTTGATCAGATCTCTAACTCCTTGTTAACACTGCACAGCTTGGTAACCCTGCAAAGACCTGAACAAGCTTGCACAAGTCTAATGTGACACTTCAGTAATGAACAACTTTTGTAAAAGGATGGGTGGCCTTTACCTCTCCTGAACACAACCACTTCTCCCTAAAGCTCCACCATCCTGCTGGGAAAGACGTCATTCTATCCTTCTGGTTTTCCTTTGTACAGAGTGGGGAGGAGCACGGCTGCAGCCATCCCCAGACACCCTACCTGCATCACGGTGCTGCAGGGAACGATGCCGGACTCCTTTGCCATCCACTTCCTCAAGGTGCTGCGGGAGCTGCTGGTGTTTGTGCTGTTCAGCTACACCGTGCTGGTGGGAGCGCTCCTGCTGGCTGGCTGGACGACGTATTTCTTGGTGCTCAAATGACAACTTGTTCCCTGCTCCTGCAGTCCTGGGCTGCCCAGAAGCACCTGGCTCCACCGCACAGCTCGTCCCACACATCTGCTCAGCGCACAGGATGGCAGCCCCTTCCTCCTGCACCAACTCTGCAAGCATTTTGTTCCGTTACCACCTCATCACAATCTTATTTTCTTATGTAAAAAAGAAAGATTAAAAGAAATACCATCTACATGAACGCACCATTCTGTGTTGCTCTTTCCAGTTCTGTTGCCGCCCAGGCATTGCCTTCCCAGCAGCTTTGCCCAGCGATTCCCTCCCCACCCCAGGGACCCACAGGAAAGGAAGGGATGCAGCAATCCTGCACAAAGCTTCCTACAGTTCTGTGAGGTACACTGAGGGAGAGCAGCAAAACCACATATCTACAGTGCTGCCATTTGGCATTCTAAAGCTCAGTGATTTTCAGTAAATACTTAAAATACAGGGGAAGCTTTAGGATGTGGCAGAGCTGCAGCCCTGCTTTGCTAAAACTGGACTATGTCGGCTGAGTCTCACAGAGAACAGATGGGAATTTCTGGTATACGCAGTGCAAACAGAATTAATTGATCTTATTAGGCCTTTCACGTGTGACTGTATAGGAAACCTTAACTGGAAACACTGGGGATTACCACAGCTGTACATCTAGCCAGAGACAAAGCAGTACCACATACTCTGGAAAAGTAAAGATGAAATGGACCAGAGCGGGAGGGAGCCGAGCGTGTGCGAAGCGCGAGGGCTGAGCGCGGCGGGAACGTTCCCGCGCGGCGCCGAGGAACGCTGTGGTCGCCACACAGCGACCGTTACCCCATGACAGCGCCTCGCGCCCTCCCCACGTGCCCGCCCTCTGCGCACGCGCCTTTCCGGACCACCAAACCCCAGCGTGACGTCACTTCCGGCGAACCGCCCACTCCCAAGATGGCGGCGCAGTCCTTCTGGCTGCGCGGTTGGCGGTCTCTCCTGAGGTACCGCGCTTACGGGCGGCCGGGCTGGGGCGGCGGTGCCCACCTGGGTTAGGAGCATGCAGCGTGGGAGGAAAACCGACCGGTTATTTTCAGAAAATAAAGGGAAATAATTCCGCTTTTAAACACGCTTTAGACCTTGATTGTCGGTGTTACCCAGTGTTAGCGATGCGTTGGCACCCGGTGAGACAAACAGTCGCTGTGCCCAGCTGCTGTTTCTTGCCTTCATACCTCAGCATCGTGACGATAACCGGTGTGCCCATCGGCTGTGATTACAGCACCGTTCTGGGTCACGCACCCAGCTGCTGCAGATCGTCCCTGCTCTGTTATTGCTGTAATTGCTGTAACTGCTCGCTCTGTTTCTCGCACTCCAGGCTCGGCCGCCCCGCGCTGGCCAGCAGCAGCAGGCGCTGCCTTCCTGGTGGGGCCGGGCGGTGGCACGGCGCGGTGGGCGCAGGGCTGGGAGCTGCGCTGTGTGCTGTCCCGGTCGTGGAGGTAAGGGAGCTCTGGTGACGGACGTGCAGCCCTGCATGTTAGAAAGCCTTCCTTATATGTCCCAAATACTCAAAAATTTTCAAAGCATTTTATAAGCTGGTACTTACGCTTTCCTTTGTACCTTCTTGGTTCTGCCTTAGGGATCACAGCTGTTGATGCCTTGCAGTTGTTAAAGAAATGAGAAAGACAGTGTTTACCTTCAGTAATAAATTTGCAGGAAAAATAAAATGGTCTTGTTTTACAGAGAAATTCGTACTAGTATTTTGCTCTAGGCTGTCCAGCCTTGTGATTAGCAGTGGTGCTTTTTCTTATTATTAGTTACCAATAATGTATAAATGGAAGTCAGTGTAAGGATAATGCAAACTTGTTGTATTTCAGAAACAGAACTCAGCTTCTCTCAGTAACGACGCCTTGATTAAGAGAGCCGTTTGTTTGGTAACAGACAGTACTTCCACTCTCCTCTCTCAAACAACATACGCACTGATTGAAGCACTGACAGAGTATACAAAGGTAAGATGAGAGATTATGCACTTTGATTTTTGGGTCCCTGGGAAATTCTGGAGTGGCTCTCACTACTGTCTTACTACACTAAATGTTAAAGTTATTTTTAGGTTTGTTAGACCTTTCCTCTGATCCTGAACTTAAGTTGAAGGGACTTGTGTTTCAGAACTGAGGCTGAAGAAAATCAGACCAGTTACTCGGAGCAGAACTGAAGGGCAGCTATCAGATTTCTGCACATTGAGTACGTAGGATATGCTGCCCTATATTTTATTTACTCTCTGTGCCTATTTCTAGGTCCATAAATTTGAGTTTCATCAGAAGAATGGAATAAGCCATACTTAAACTTGAAACAACAAGATACAATTTTAATTTTAGAAAGAAGTGCTAACTTGAAAGGAGTATTTGCATTCCTTCCTTTTCAATTTCACAAGTATTATTGCCTCATTGCTATGGCAAGTATATGAAGAATAGTACTTTGACCCTGTGGTAGGCAGACAGCAAATTGTATTGGTATCTCCAAAATTTCCATGGGCTAATGTACTTTTACATATTTCTGTTTTTCCCAGTACAAATATATTTCTGTGGTACTGCAAGGAACTGTTCTAGCATAGGTAGGAAGCAGTGGGCTTTCAGAGTAGGAAATCAGAGTGGTTGCATGCTTTGAATCCCGAGAAGCCCATGATGATGTGCAATCTTGGAGCATCAAAGTTCTGGTGCTCGAGTCAGAGTATACTCCTTGCTTTTTTCAACATGTTTAACAGCAAACTTAAGAGCAAAGCACCTTGGGAAGTATTCAACGATTTTGTTACCCACTGCATATACTGGAGATTAAATACAGCCAGGTTAGTTCTTTTGCTTTCTATGACTCATTAACACCAGCTAACAGTGAGCCAACATCTATAGATTTTCACGTAACTGTGTGAAACGATCCCTTTGCAGGCAGTTTATACGTTGGTGTCTCTCTACAAGCAATACACAAATCTTCTTGGGAAGATGAACTCAGACGAAGTGGATGCAGTCTGGCAGGTGGTAATAGGAGCCAGAGTTGATGTAAGCCTTCATCTCCCTTCAGTTGTTACCACGAAACAGTCAATCAGGAAACTCTCTAAGTCTTAAGTTGGAGTGTTACAAAGTAGGAATTTTTTACTAACAGCACTGGGTGTGTGGCAGATACTATCCTTCCCATATGTTGCCCAAAAAGGCCTTTAGTTGATACACGTTCAGAGGTCTTCCTGGAGGGGCAGGTGTATTCAATACAAAGAGTCCTGGAACCTTATTTGTTCACAGTGTCTGGTGGAACCTCCCCTAACTATTCCATACAAAGTCTCCTGGCACATGCCTTATCTGTTCCATACAAAGACACAGACCCTCCCCATTTTCTAAACAAACTACAAGGTTGTCCTTTGAGGAACTTACCTAGCTGCAACTTGTATCACAGTCAGCAATTTGCCTCTTCAGCTTTTCTCAGAAAGCTGTACCGTCACTTGCTCACCTTTTCACAGAGGTACTGTTTGGAACAGCATTCAGATATTCTCATGTCAAATTGGATAATCATTTTACTCCTAGATGACAACAAAACAGCAAGAATACCTAAAGCTAGAATCCAGCTGGATGACAGCATTACGTCTTTCAGAGATGGCAGCAGAAGCTGCGTATCAATCAGGTATGCTCAAGCAGAAATACTGAGAATCCTTCACTTAACATGTAGGCAGTATTTATTCTATGAGAATGGAGTTGGGAAAGAGAGGGAATATAAATTCCAATAATGTACCAATTTAGAATTAATGCTGGTTGTTAGCAGTGCTAAGAACTTACTTTGTTGGCTACAGCTCTAGTACAGATGTCCTGGGAACCAGGGCTGGAAACTTCGTATATTGTTTATATTGATAGGAACCATGCCAGAAAATATTTGACAAAGTGTTATTTTCAAATGCAGTGCTCAAACGTGCTTCAATGCCTGGAGCCTAGCTGGTGCCCCTAGCTAGATCCTCTTTTACTGAAGAGTGAAAATATTTACCTTTCACTCAGTTATGATACAAATTTTGTTTTCTCCCTACGTAAAAGCTTTCACAAAAGTGTGCAGAGACTTGATAGCTCTGAGATTGAGTTATGGACTGACTTAGGGCAGATCAGAAAATATTGGGGCAGAGAAAGAAGGAAAACAGTAAATACATAGGGACAGCCTACCTGTGTAGGTGCAATTTCCTGATGAAACTTGAAAAAGATGTAGAATCTGTAGGAGCATAGAGTTTCTACGTTCAGCAGCGTCTCAGATGATGGTCGGTTGGAGTACTGCACAAGAACCAAAAGTGCCTGCGGCAATGAGTGGGCAGGGCTTCGTTTTCAAGCCCGGCAGCACAAGCTGATCAGCCTGATTGGATCCTGGTTGAAACCTGGCTGGGAGGGAAGAATTAGGAGGGCACAAAAATCTTCACGTAGGGTATTGGTTAAGGTAAATCAACAGTAAATGAGTTTAGCATTAATATAGCCCAAGAACCATCAAAACACTTAGCAAAGCAGGTGAGAACTACAGACATTTCCTTCCTTAATTGAAGGTTTGCTCAGTTCTCTTCTAACCCTATATATTTAAATGACTGCTTTTCAGGTGCAGATCAAGCCTCGGTGACAGCTCAAAGCCACATCCAGCTAATCAAATCACAGGTGCAAGAAGTACGGCAGCTGTCCCAGAAGGCAGAGACCAAGTTAGCTGAAGCTCAAACAGAGGAGCTCCTGAAAGCTCAAGGAGAGGAATCTTCGTTGCCTCAGGGTACTTTAGGAAGTACAGATGCAGGTGAGGACCCTTATCTTCGGGAAGACTGACATGAACTTAAGTGTCATTTTAGAATATGTGAGAATCAATCAGAAATTGAAGGGTTCCAAACTTTTAAGTGTTGGATAGCAGGAAACCTCTGAAATAAGCCTGTGATTCCACTTCCACCCCTTACCCTCAGATAGGCTTGCTTGACAGATCAAGACAATTCCAAGAATCTGAAAGGCCTTGACTGTGTTTATAATTATGGATTCAGTTATTTAAGTGTTTAACTATGCAAATGTGTAAATTGCTATCAACAATAGCTTGTTAATTTTGTCTGCTGGGAAGATCCTAGCAGTGCTTTGTTATGTTTGTGAGAGCTCTCTAACATAGAGCCTAAGTAGGTATCAACCAAAGAAGTGTATTTAAAAGTTACTGGTTTTAACCTGTATAGTAAATGATGTCTGTTAGTAGATATCTTTATTAAATTGG